ATAATATTCATTGTCATTTACAATACCTAGATATGTTTTAAAATGCAATTTAAAGCATTTTTGGTTCCGATCATAGTAGGCTATTTTCAAATAAATATCGATTTTTTTTATCTATATAATATTCATTGTCATTTACAATACCTAGATATGTTTTAAAATGCAATTTAAAACATTTTTGGTTTCGATCATAGTAGGCTATTTTCAAAAAAATATCGATTTTGTATTTATATTAGCATTCTTTATCATTTATAATACCTAGATATGTTTTAAAATGAAATTTAAAGCATTTTTGGTTTGGATCATAGTAGGCTATTTTCAAAAAAATATTGATTTTGTATTTATATTAGCATTCATTGTCATTTAGAATACCTAGATATGTTTTAAAATGCAATTTAAAGCATTTTTGGTTTGATCATAGTAGGCTATTTTCAAAAAAATATCGATTTTTTTATCTATATTAGCATTTTTTATCATTTATAATACCTAGATATGTTTTAAAATGAAATTCAAAGCATTTTTGGTTTCGATCATAGTAGGCCATTTTCAAAAAAATATTGATTTTTTATCTATATAAGCATTCTTTATCATTTATAATATCTAGATATGTTTTAAAATGCAATTTAAAGCATTTTTGGTTTGATCATAGTAGGCTATTTTCAAAAAAATATCGATTTTTTTATCTATATTAGCATTTTTTATCATTTATAATACCTAGATATGTTTTAAAATGAAATTCAAAGCATTTTTGGTTTCGATCATAGTAGGCTATTTTCAAAAAAATATTGATTTTGTATTTATATTAGCATTCATTGTCATTTATAATACCTAGATATGTTTTAAAATGCAATTTAAAGCATTTTTGGTTTGATCATAGTAGGCTATTTTCAAAAAAATATCGATTTTGTATTTATATTAGCATTCATTGTCATTTAAAATACCTAGATATGTTTTAAAATGCAATTTAAAGCATTTTTGGTTTGATCATAGTAGGCTATTTTCAAAAAAATATCGATTTTGTATTTATATTAGCATTCTTTATCATTTATAATACCTAGATATGTTTTAAAATGCAATTTAAAGCATTTTTAGTTTCGATCATAGTAGGCTATTTTCAAAAAAATATCGATTTTTTATCTATATTAGCATTCTTTATCATTTTTAATACCTAGATATGTTTTAAAATGAAATTCAAAGCATTTTTGGTTTCGATCATAGTAGGCTATTTTCCAAAAAAATTTCGATTTTTTATCTATATTAGCATTCTTTATCATTTTTAATACCTAGATATGTTTTAAAATGAAATTTAAAGCATTTTTGGTTTCGATCATAGTAGGCTATTTTCCAAAAAAATTTCGATTTTTTATCTATATTAGCATTCTTTATCATTTATAATAACTAGATATGTTTTAAAATGCAATTTAAAGCATTTTTAGTTTCGATCATAGTAGGCTATTTTCAAAAAAAATATCGATTTTATATCTATATTAGCATTCTTTATCATTTAATAATACCTAGATATGTTTTAAAATGCAATTTAAAGCATTTTTAAATTCGATCAAAGCAGGCAATTTTCAAAAAAATGTTGATTTTTTATCAATATTAGCATTCATTGTCATTTACAATACCTAGATATGTTTTGAAATGCAATTTAAAACATTTTTGGTTTCGATCATAGTAGGCTATTTTCAAAAAATATCGATTTTTTATCTATATTAGCATTCGTTATCATTTATAATACCAAGATATGTTTGAAAATGAAATTCAAAGCATTTTTGGTTTCGATCATAGGAGGCTATTTTCAAAAAAATATCGATTTTTTTATCTATATAAGTATTCTTTATCATTTATAATATCTAGATATGTTTTAAAATGAAATTCAAAACATTTTTGGTTTCGATCATAGTAGGCTATTTTCAAAAAAAATATCGATTTTTTTATCTATATTAGCATTCGTTATCATTTATAATACCTAGATATGTTTTAAAATGAAATTTAAAGCATTTTTAGTTTCGATCATAGTAGGCTATTTTCAAAAAATATCGATTTTTTTTATCTATATAAGCATTCATTGTCATTTACAATACCTAGATATGTTTTAAAATGCAATTTAAAACATTTTTGGTTTCGATCATAGTAGGCTATTTTCAAAAAAATATCGATTTTTTATCTATATTAGCATTTTTTATCATTTATAATACCTAGATATGTTTTAAAATGCAATTTAAAGCATTTTTGGTTTCGATCATAGTAGGCTATTTTCAAAAAAATATCGATTTTTTATCTATATTAGCATTCTTTATCATTTATAATACCTAGATATGTTTTAAATGAAATTTAAAGCGTTTTTGGTTTCGATCATAGTAGGCTATTTTCCAAAAAAATTTCGATTTTTTATCTATATTAGTATTCTTTATCATTTTTAATACCTAGATATGTTTCAAAATGAAATTTAAAGAATTTTTGGTTTGGATCATAGTAGGACATTTTCAAAAAAATATCAATTTTATATCTATATTAGCATTCTTTATCATTTATAATACCTAGATATGTTTTAAATGAAATTTAAAGCATTTTTGGTTTCGATCATAGTAGGCTATTTTCCAAAAAAATTTCGATTTTTTATCTATATTAGCATTCTTTATCATTTTTAATACCTAGATATGTTTTAAATGCAATTTAAAGCATTTTTGGTTTCGATCATAGTTGGCTATTTTCCAAAAAAATTTCGATTTTTTATCTATATTAGCATTCTTTATCATTTATAATATCTAGATATGTTTTAAAATGAAATTCAAAACATTTTTGGTTTCGATCATAGTAGGCTATTTTCAAAAAAAATATCGATTTTTTTATCTATATTAGCATTCGTTATCATTTATAATACCTAGATATGTTTTAAAATGAAATTTAAAGCATTTTTAGTTTCGATCATAGTAGGCTATTTTCAAAAAATATCGATTTTTTTTATCTATATAAGCATTCATTGTCATTTACAATACCTAGATATGTTTTAAAATGCAATTTAAAACATTTTTGGTTTCGATCATAGTAGGCTATTTTCAAAAAAATATCGATTTTTTATCTATATTAGCATTTTTTATCATTTATAATACCTAGATATGTTTTAAAATGCAATTTAAAGCATTTTTGGTTTCGATCATAGTAGGCTATTTTCAAAAAAATATCGATTTTTTATCTATATTAGCATTTTTTATCATTTATAATACCTAGATATGTTTTAAAATGCAATTTAAAGCATTTTTGGTTCCGATCATAGTAGGCTATTTTCAAAAAAATATCAATTTTATATCTATATTAGCATTCTTTATCATTTATAATACCTAGATATGTTTTAAATGCAATTTAAAGCATTTTTGGTTTCGATCATAGTAGGCTATTTTCCAAAAAAATTTCGATTTTTTATCTATATTAGTATTCTTTATCATTTTTAATACCTAGATATGTTTCAAAATGAAATTTAAAGAATTTTTGGTTTGGATCATAGTAGGACATTTTCAAAAAAATATCAATTTTATATCTATATTAGCATTCTTTATCATTTATAATACCTAGATATGTTTTAAATGAAATTTAAAGCATTTTTGGTTTCGATCATAGTAGGCTATTTTCCAAAAAAATTTCGATTTTTTATCTATATTAGCATTCTTTATCATTTTTAATACCTAGATATGTTTTAAATGCAATTTAAAGCATTTTTGGTTTCGATCATAGTAGGCTATTTTCCAAAAAAATTTCGATTTTTTATCTATATTAGCATTCTTTATCATTTTTAATACCTAGATATGTTTCAAAATGAAATTTAAAGAATTTTTGGTTTGGATCATAGTAGGACATTTTCAAAAAAATATCAATTTTATATCTATATTAGCATTCTTTATCATTTATAATACCTAGATATGTTTTAAAATGAAATTCAAAGCATTTTTGGTTTCGATCATAGTAGGCTATTTTCAAAAAAATATCGATTTTTTATCTATATTAGCATTCTTTATCATTTGAACGTTAATGGAGAAGAACGTCCACTTGAAAAACGTTCATTTCGAAATCAAATTTTTTTGACCGATTTTTATTAAACATGCGTTCTTTTAGAAAAATATTTTCCACATTAAAATCACAAAGTTTTAATGTCTTTATTGAATTTACACAAAATTGTACGAGAAAAACAACAATTGAAAGAATTCAATTAAAAAATTAAAATTCATGCTTTGTAAAAATCGGTCAAACAAATTTGATTTCGAAATGAACGTTTTTCAAGTGGAAGTTCTTCTCCATTAACGTTCAAATATGAAAAAAAAGTTTTATGTCTAGCAAATAAGCTTTTATTCCATTTTATCCGCTTGTACGTTTATTGGTTTAGTAGAAATGATACATAAACATATCGCATAAGTCTATAAATAGAATTTCCAGGTAATTTGCCGCTTCATTGACGGTTAGATAAGGTATTCAAATAATAACAATAAAACTTATGTGCTTTATTGCAGAAGCACCAATCAGATTTATTTGTGTATGGCAAATAAGTCTAAAGACGGAAGTGATTGCGAAGAAAGGCAGGGAAATGAGAAAATCCATAACATCTTTATGAATCAACAATGGAAATATAGTAGCAATTTTATGGCTTTCCATAATCCCTTCTCGAGCACTATATATACATTTTTATAGCATGAATGAATACGTACGAATACAGGAATTATCATAAATTATTTATTCAATAAGCGTAAAGAAGATTACCGAAACGGATCTTAACAGAAATTCTTTTGTATTGATTAGAGCTTACTGTTTAAGGATAATGTTGCACTTTGATGGTCCGTCTAGGATGTAAGTTGGTTATAAATAGCTAGTTTGATATAACAAGCGCTACCCAAAACACCTTACCCTAGTCATAGGGTTTATATTAATACTTTAGATGCCCAGAAATCACAAAGCTAAGAGGTATTTAATTTTTAATATGTGCAGAAAAACAGCTTTCCAATGAGACAGACCTTAATTTCATTTTATGTTTTTTACAATAAATTTAGCATTACTAGGATGATTTTGAATTAGAATTTGATTATTTTGTAAACTTTTGCTTGTTAAACTTTCAAGCTCAATACTTTGAAACATTTGGTGTCGATGTTCGGAAAATTGAATTTGGGATTGATTTTAAGAAGATCACTGTATCTAAAATTAGCAATAATTTGAGGTAAAAAATTTTCAAAGAAATAAATTTTACATTTCTAACGGCATTTATGTTTTGAAATTTTAACGACTTTTTGAATTTTAAACCGTTTTAAAAATTCAAATTTTTACTTACTCAATGGAAAAATTCTCTTCAAATCCAGCATTAAGAGCAGCCTTCTGACTTCCGTTTGCTGTTGCATGAGTCGTTGTCACTTTCAGGCCTAGTTCCTTACACAAAAGTCGTCGACATTGAAACATGTGATTAGCAATTCCACGCCGTGTATAGTTTGGCTTAACACCAACTGTGAATGCATAAAGGATATGGTCGACATTGTAATGCTTGAATGGACTGAACTGCTTGTTTGCATAGTTCATGACACCGAAAATGTCAAGGAGGTCCTTGTTTTTGAACTAGAATGGATTAATAAGGGGGTTTCGTTAGAATTAGGTTTGAAGGAACTAGAACTGATACTTTTCGGGAACCAAATTTACTCACATCAGGTTCTGCCATGTACTCCTTACAATCCTTTACTGCCAAAATGTTTGTCGATATAATTTCATCAGAATTTTCCTTGAAACAAGCAAGTGACTTTCCATTTTGCATTGTTGTGCGTAACATGTTCAAGAACTCCTCAACAGCATCTGGCTGATTAATTACATTTCTTGTCTTTGACATTGGCTCATGCTTCAAAAATGCCCCAGCATTAAATTGAATTCCTTCTTCAATTCTGTCTTTAGGATAGTCTTGAATCCTGTACTCAACTTCCGTTTTTCCATCAAGATCCAATGCACGAAATTTCCGATAAGTCTTTAAATTTCCAACCGATGAGAAAAGTCGTCTTAATTGAAACATTTTTGAATTCATGCTGAATAATTTTATCGGTTTTGAAAATTTTTTGTGAAATTTTATTTCAAAAGTTGCTGAGATAAGGTTTTTAAGTTTAAAAAATTGATATTTTATGTTGGGCTTATTTCAAATTGGAAAATTCACTTCCTTCAGACACGAGTGTCCACATCCTTACTAGTTTTTTTCTGTACAAGTCAGATGCCAATGAATTTTGAGTACCGCAGATATTTATGAGAAATAATCGATGTTATGAATAAGGATGTAGGTACATATTTTATGCTCATGTTTTCTGAATTATTCATAGTCATTTACTTGTGTATGCTTTATTGAGCTTTTGTTCGTTGAAAATGAGCTTTTAATTTGAATTTTTTCGATCTTTGTTTACAAAAATTTTCAAATTAAAGATTTATTAAATTAGAGCTAAAACAAGCTTTATGTTTATCATAATATTGATCATTCCATGCTTCATAACCCAAATTTTAATAATCATAAGTTTTCATAAGATCCAGGACTACAAGAATTAGTAAAAATGAAGAATCTTAAAATTTTTCATATTTCTCGCATTTTTAAGTGCATAAAATTCAAATTTTAAACTCAACGTATATTTTAAAGTCTTATAATTCCATAAAAATTCACCATACACCTTATCTGCCCTCGACAGCAAATTGAAATAAAGTACTCAGAAAAAAAGAATGTAATCACGTTAAAATTTGCGTGTCTAAGGAAAAGATAAATTCCTTCCATAAAATTTATTTATTTATTTACTTGCGTCATCATAAAATCTCATTTTTATCATGAAATGTATGAGCTTGATTAAGATGACAAGTCTATGGATTATTTTGAAAATGTCCATGGCACAGAAACAGTATGTTTAGTCTTATTTGGATATAGCATCGCCTTGTGAATACAAATGACCACAAATTTGTCACATTTTTCCTTCTTCGCTTACGGAAAAAATAAAAATTCAGATGACATGTCGCATGAGTCGCACCTTTTATTGGCAAGGTGGGTCATATAAATTCTTCTGCGTTCATCTCATTTCCTATGTATGTTGGAAGCAGATGTTAATAATGTATAAAAATAAATTATGGAGGAACGGATGTTCGTATTGATGGTTTATAGGAAGTTTGCAGCTTTAATGTATGGGGTGTTGCTGGTTCCATTTGGTATTATGATTATTAGTCAGAATCTTTTATGTTTGACAGCTAAGAAGCTCCATTAAACTTGCAGCAGTAGTTTATGTCGCTGGAGGAGTTATCAGGCTCGATTTTGAATTGGATTCCTTTGAATAAGATTTAAAACACCAATCTCCTATCAATCTTAAGATGAACACCGATATTCATCATGCTAAAGCATCCATACCAACCACAAACGTTTGAAATCATGCAGAAGTATAAAAGCTTTGGACAATATCATGAATAGAGTAGCATATAATTTTAATGGTAGGGTTAGCTATGATGTAGGTCTGAGTATATCAAATCTAGGCATAAAAGTTTTCTGAAAAACTAAACTGGAAGTGATTTAAACTACAAAAATCTACCATCTTTAAGCGACACCACTTCCAGTTCAAAATTCTCTTGATGATAAAGATTAAGCTTAACATTGTGCTGAAAATATTTTTCTGCTAATAAGAAATCCCACAAGTGGCCACACATATGCTGACATCCAAAAAAATTGCAGCTTTTATCATTGCTGAAACACAAAGAAACCATAAAAATAATACAAAAGCTTTAAACGTTGTGTTTTCAATTCAACTGCGGTTCCTTTGTACTGTTTTCATATTTTTAGAAATAAAAGAAATATTCTCAGACATAAAGAAAGAATCGCAAATGTGAGGCATATGCTTTTGTATCGAAATGTTTATGGCTGTTTATGGATGTATGCTTCTGTATGGTATTTGTACTTTTATGGGGCAAATGCTAAGGTTTTAGTAAAATCATTAATTTGACGCTTCTAAACAAAATAATAATATTTGGGGACAATGAACACCTGCCCCCCCCCCCCCCCCCCCATTTTCTTATAAAAAGTATTTTAAATTCTCTATTCATTAAATTTATAAAACCATTTCAGACTCATTCAGATACAAAAATGTAGAAATAAGGAGAACAGGAAGAGTAAGACATAAGAGCATTTTTATTTTTCGCTGATTAAAACAATTACGTAAATGATTCTCATATTTTCCTTTTTAATTCCTTTCACGCACATCATTATAAGGGTTTCCTTTTAAAACCGCATCTGATATCTCAATGAAATAAAGTACGTACTCGTGTCTTTTATCAAGAGACTGATAAGCAACTTATCCAAGGTCTTCTTTTATTTGTCACGATGAAGTGTTAATATCCTTCGTCTCTGTTTTAAAATTAATTCCAGCTTTTTCTCGCTTTATCTCTCGAAAATTAAAATTTATTCACGTACGACGTGTTTAAAAACTTTTATCAGACATCCTTTTGTCTTTTTTTCCGATTGAGTTGCTGCTTTGTCAAAAGAAAAAGGTAAATGGGGTCTTTAGGAATAAGAATTTATCATGAAATGACTCGAAATTGACGTTTGTTGAAGACATGGATCAATACTGGGGGTCCTCGATTTGAGTAGTTGTTTTGTTCCAAAAAACTTCTACTCAAATCGAATCTATTCAAATCGAGGCAAAGAATCAATACAAAATTACATGTTTTGTTCCAGAGTCCAAAAAATGTATCAAAACAATGAAAATTTTGAACATTTTTGCACATTTTACCTATTTTCTTAATTTTACCTATGTGTTTTAGATAACTTAATTTATTTCAACGCATATTCTTATTGTTTTTAACCAGAAATTCACAAAAAATGTGTTTTTGAAACAAAACAAAAATATGAGAACCTTGCAAATGTTATTTCACTGAACAATTTGTAAGGTTTTTGAATTTGAACTTTTTAAAACCGTTAATTTTATATCGATTTTTTAAATTTTTACTTTAATTTTGTAACTTTAGAATTGATTTTTCTATCAATGTGATAAGTTCACGCTTATTGCAGTAAAATTTATGTTTTAAAAATATTTTCTGAAATGTTTTTATCAAAAATATTTGTTTTGTAAACAATTCAAATCGAAGAAAACAGGAAGGAATCTACTCAAATCGAATATTTTGGTGGGTAAAAATTTTTCTGTTCAAATCGAATCTACTCAAATAGAATCTACTCAAATCGAGGACCCCCAGTATTGGCATTTAAATGTATCTGAACTTATTCTTTTGTCATTTAAAGCTATTCAAAACTTTCTAAATTTCACTCAGAAATTCAAAGTTGAAAAGAAGCAACGATAAGCTTTATTTCATTGCTTACAAATGACGATGAAAGAAAATTCACAATTTTCTTATCTATGTGAGCCAAAAACGAAATTGAGGATTAATATGATACATACGAATCTCTTGTGACAATGCTATATGAGTAAGATAAAGTTTTATGCTGCATGGAATATTCTTATATTTCCATTATTGCATTTTAACGAAGAATACCGAATATTTTATCATGAAAGTTCATCTTACAAGTTCCCTCTTTGTTTATTTCAGCACTAAAATTGTTTTAGAAAGCATTTGAATGTGAGTTTAGTGGATTGTTGCTTGAACTGAAGAATAATTTAAATAACGTTCATTTAAGATTTAAAATTTTGCTATAAAATTTGAATGTCAAAAGGTTGTTGAATTTTTGCTATAAAATGTGAATCTCAAAAGTTCGTTGAATTTTTGCTATAAAATTTGAAAGTAAAAAGTCGTCGAATTTTTTGCTATAAAATTTGAATGTCAAAAGTCGTTAAATTTTTGCTATAAAATTTGAAATTCAGTCATTGAATTTTGCTATAAAATTTGAAAGTCAAAAGTCGTTAAATTTTTGCTATAAAATTTGAATTTCAAAAAGTCGTTGAAATTTTGCTATAAAATCTGTTTATATACCTCAAATAAAAATCACTTAAATAAAGTTTTTCTCAGCTTTCTTTAGCACATAACCACCGCATTGTCAAGAGCAGCAAAGAATCTCAAAACGCTTGTCAACTACGTAAGTGATTAATGAAAGAATTAACATTGTTGCCAAATCTCTTATCGCATTTCATGGTGAACTAACATGCAGCATAGCTAATTAAATTAGATCCAAGATAATTTTAATAATTAAATTTAATTATATGATTTGGGAAATCCTAATAGCCTGTAAAAACCACACAGACATTTTCAGATGCAGCAATGAAGTAAAAGGTCGACATGGGATTACGAAAGGGATTTAAACCATGCAATAATTTTCTCGTAGACTAAATTAGATCCTCTTTTGTGCGTCATCAATGATTATATTTTTAGAAAATATGTGACACGTGCGTAGAATAGATATTTTTTGTCAGTAACTGTGGGAAATTTTTGATAAAATTGAATTAATCAGAAAATTGACGGCAATACAAATTGATATAGAGAGGAACACGTATTGGTCGTTTACTTATTGTCTGTAATGATAACATTTGTGGATGAAGTTATTCGAGCGCTCATGTTAAAGGCCGTTCACTTATTACGTTACGCAAAAAAACGACTTTTTTCACCCCCCCCCCCCCCCCCCCCTTGTTACAATATGTTACAACTCACACCCGAAAAATGTTTTTGGTGTGAATTTGTAAACAAATTTTTTTCGTGAACTTTTTTTTAAGACAGACGACAGATAGAACGTTACATACTTCTTGACAACCCCCCCACCCCCCCTATGTTACATTTTGTTACAATTTTTCAAAACCCCCTCCCCCCTAAAATGCGAACGTAATAAGTGAACGGCCCCTTAATGGATTTCTTTTTGAAAAGTAACGGATATAAAATATTTAAAACCAAACTGTCAAAAAGTATTTAAAAATTAACGGTTCGAAAGTATTTGAAAACTTTTAACGAAAAACTTGAAAGACTTTCGTTAAAGCGTGACGTAATTTGCGAACTACTTCTAATGAAAAATTTCAAATTTCTGTCTGAAATAATAACGGTAAAAATTTGTTTTCTCTTCCTTGCATTTTCTTCTAGGATCTTAATGACATCATGTATTAAAAAAGCACTGCCATCATTTATAATTTATTTACCATTGGATTTTTTGCTTTATTCAACGATTTTGTGTTCTGATTTTAATTTTTTTTCGTTCAATTTTACATTTTGTTCCTGATTTTTCCACAAGAACTTTCACAAAAAATAATAACTTCTATTTTTTTAAGATTTAGGAAAAGTCGGACGCTATCGTCACTTTTAATGCCTGACAGAATAAATTTACTTCTTCCACTTCTTGTTTTCGTAGTCCCATTGTGAGGAAACTCCATGGATTGGATTGACTTCTAAAGTAAGCATACGTTTAAGTTGAGCCTTGCGATGGGCTTCATCGAATGTCTCTGGTTCTGCGTCGTAGACTGTAATGTACAAAATTATTAATTCGTTATTGCTATGTCTAGAAATGTCAGTTATCGACTTACTGAATGTAGCCATCCATAATGAGATGAAGATAGCCAATCCAGCTACAATTAATGTGTTTCCGACGTGCATTTTCCATTCGCCTGTTGGATATTTCATCTCAGCGAATGTCTGACAGAATGTTGCACGGTAGAGGGCTTTCTTTTCTTGAACTGAAAGCTTCTTCCAGTCTTCTTTTTCCTTTGTGCGGAGAGCCTGCAAAAGAATGATGCAAAATTGTTCATTAATTATGAAATGAATATGCAAATTGAATTGGATATAAAAAAAATAGTCACTAGCTGTATAAATTCATTTTGTAGCCAAAAGTATTATGTAAACAACAAAAGAAGAGAAGAGAAACTTACAAGAACGTCTGGAGTGTTTTCCTTGAAACGAACAGCTGGCATTGGGAAATCTGGTCTGTCGTAATAGACTGGCTCACCGTTCCATCCGAAACCAACGACATCACGATTACCGACCTTTTCTAATTTCTCAGCAAGATGAGGGTTCATTGCGCCAGTGCTAGCTGCACGTAGAAGCATAGCTGGAGCAGAGGTAGGTTGGAGAAATTTTGCTGCTAGCATTCGACTTGCCATCTTTTTCGAATGTTGATTTAATCCCTTAACAGCCTAATTAATGATCTAAAATGATAAAATAATTTTTTTTGAATTTTTATTTTTTTTATCACTTTGAGTTACGTGAGTTTTGAGGTTCTATGGATTTTTGTGCCTTTATATGATGCATTATGTAATAAATTTTTTCCCCATAAAATATCTTTTATCACATGAACAGTTTATGGATCATTGCATAATTATAATTTAATTAATTTTCTATCAATTCATGCTACATTTAAGCAGTTTTGGTGCTGATTTATTGAAAATTTTTGATTACGATCTTGCGAAAGATTCTTTGAATGTCAAAATCAATATTTTTCTGCCCGAGAAATTTTCTTGTCAGTTTTTAACTAATTAATACTTGTTATTTAAGCCTGATTTGAATTTGTCACTATAGTTTATACAACAATTATACAATTTATTCACTTTTTAACTTACAATGCCAATTACTTAAAGCACAAAAACCAATTTAAAATTTTAAGGAAGATCGCAAAAATTACCTTTTCGAAAGTCGAATGTAAAAAGTCGACGTTCCTCTTTAACTTAACGAAAGGGGATTGTCTGCTCGAATCATTTGTTTACTTTTTATTTTTGTTGATTTTTTACACTTTTCAATGCTATTAGAAGACTTTTACTACATTAATCACTGTTGTTGTTATTATAATTATCTTGATAAGCATCACAGTCATTGTAAAACACTACAATGAAGGTGTTATTAAAGAGAAGTCCAGTTTCATTTTAACGAGCTTTCGAAATTCAAATTCATTGTTTTAAACCCCTTTAAATTCAAAAATTATTCGTTATTCTTAAGCCATGTGACTGTCAATTTTAACGACATTAATGAAAAAGTAAACTTAATCAATTGAATAATTGTGAAGGCTTTTAAGCAAGGTATAATTCTGTTTTAAAATACTATATAACCAAACAATTGAATATTTGCGTCAATTTAAGTGAATCTAAACTATTGAAACTTTAGAAAATCAGAAAATCACAAACACCCCCTCCCTTACCCACTTAAAATCACCCTATTTTAAAATTAAATCGAATCGCATTTATTAAATTGCTGTGAAGAGTATTCATTATTATTTTAAATCGGAGCAATTCAATGATAAAAAATTGAATACCTTTTTTTCGTTGAAATTACCAGAAATTTCAATTAATAAATCACAGAAATTTTAAATAGTCGCTCTTAAATAGTTGCAAAACCTAATAAATCAATCCAAAATCTTTAAAAACAGAAATCAAATCACCAAACTAGCAAGAAACCTTTACTGATATGCGAAATTTCAAACCAACTGAGTAGCCCTTGTAAAAAATCAAAATCAAAAACCAGCTGAACATAAACAGTACATAAAGAAAATTAAAACTTAAAGTTTAGTATATTTTGGATATTCGTTGAGTTAAAAGCGATGGAAGAGTGATAAGAATTGCTATAAATATGATATTAATAGATATCAAAAAGTGCATTTATTTATCAACAATTTAACAAAATTGTGCAAAAAAGTGATAAATTAAAAAAGAGAGAATGGAATGATAAATTGTGTTTTTAAAAAGAATGATGGAATTGGGAATGTAAAATCAAATTATTTTAATGTCTAGATGAGAAACGAAGAAGAAAAGAAAGTCAAATGGTTCAGAAAATATCATCAGAAGAATTAAAAAAGCAATAATTAAATTTTATGTTTTTAGTGCTGCAAATTAAAAGAGAATCCGTGAAATTAGTTTAAAAAAAATAATTAATGATATTAAATAGTTTAGTATGATTCATATAATGTCAAGAAACAAGATAAATCTTATTGGAATTGTCACCATCACACTGAGTTTTTGTGTATTATTATTTTTTGCAACCAAAAATTCAAATTATTACGATGAATACACCAAAAAAGAGAATATTAACTCATTTAGACACAATAAGCTTAAGAACAATTATTATTATTCGTCAGAATCACAACAGCAGCAATTAGTTACGCAAAATTTGTCGGTAACAATTGAGGATGTACTCAACTTCCAGAGACAGCAACTTGCTGATGAAATGCAATATTATGAATATCCAAATGGTAGATTTGGTGTAGATGCTAAGAATTTACGTGATTTGACACCGGAGACAGGTGGAGCGCCAATGAGAAGTGTCATAATTAGTACATGGAGGAGTGGATCGACGTTCCTAGGAGACGTTTTAAATGCTCTGCCTGGCAATTATTATCATTATGAGCCTTTATTAACATACGATATCGTACAGATACGAGGTCCGCCTAATGATAGTAAAGCAATTAAGAGCTTAAAAAAATTACTTAGATGTGATTACACAAATATGCAAGAATATCTTGAATTTGGACAAACACACAACTATTTATTCACACACAATACACGTTTATGGAATCAATGTCATTTGTTTCCAAACTTTTGCTATCAACCCAAGTTCCTTGAGCCTTATTGCAAGCTGTTCCCGTTGCAAAGCATGAAAGTCGTGAGACTGAGGTTAAAAATCGCAGCACGTTTGCTGGAGGATACAAGGTAATATAACATGAAAAAGGAACAACGATGTCATAGTCTTATTTGCTACATTTCACATAAAATTATTTATGTGTTTTTGTCTTTTTTTCTCCGTCTATGTAATGTGTAATATATATTCTGAATATTCAGAGTTGGCTAATTCGGCAATGACTTTTTTTATGACTGAACTTTGACGATTAAAGTTTTATGTTGATCTGTTTTCGTCTTATAAACAAGATTTAGTTATGTTATGTTCTATCTGATTCCTACTTGTCAACCTTGCAAATACTCACTGGTAGAACTTGAGATTTCGCGTTTGCTTGACATTAGCTTTGAATTTAAATCTTTGTTTACAAACATTTCAAATTGAAATTTCATTAAATTCAGACTTGAAAGCAATCTTAATTACCCGAACATACAATGATGGCAATCATTCCTACCATCACTCAAACGAGTGATGCTATACTCACTCACATACATTAAGAAAGTACGCTACTTTACCCATCTGATTGCCATCACGTGATGGTAATCATGATAGTCATCAGTGATGACCTTACTTGCATGAAAGCTTGCATCCAAGTTAAGCCATCACTGATGATCATTATGACTGCCATCACATGATGACCATCAAGTAAAGCATGTTGAGTACGCTACTTTGCCTTTGTGATTCCCATCACATGATGGTAATCATGATGGCAATCAGTGAAGGATATCATGATGACATTCACTGACTACTCAAAAAATAAAAAAAAAATATTTTTTATATTATAACTTAATTAATTTTTAACTTTTTGGCTTAGAGGATTTTTTATAGGCTGAAATTTTGTAGAATTATTTATTCCCTTAATTTTTATATCATTAGTATTGAGATTAGATTTAAAATTTAAAACTTGAAAAACTACCGTTTTAGCTGAGATTCGAACTCACACCTTCTAGATCACTCTTCATTGCAGAATCATCTCACTTGTCCTCTAAGCCATTGCCTGTTACAAAATAGATACTTTGTTTTCGGCAATTTGACATATTTAAATGTCCCATTTTTTTAAAAAATAAACTTGCGTATTTCTTCGATGTTGATGTGCAATTTCATGAAAATTTTAATTAATTTAACTAATATTTTATTATATGTACTCAGTGAATGCAATAATGATTATCATCACCGACTACCATCAGTGATTACAATCCAATATACACCTAGTTTATTTCACAAAAGTTCTTTGTTTTATTTGTTTTTAATTCTGTCATTCATGTAAAATATGACATTCACTTTCATGTGATGATAGTAATGTAATCATATTTTGTGGAATATAATTTTTTTGTCATTAAATGATGGGATTCACTGAGTGTAGTCGTGACTGCCTTCATGATTGCCATCACATTTTACAAGCTAAAGCATCAAATGATGGTCATCAATGAGTGTATTCGTGACTGCCTTCATGATTGCCATCACATTTTATAAGTAAAGGCATCAAATGATGGTCATCAATGATGGTAGGCGTGATTGCTATCTTGATTGTAATTACAAAAAAATCTGACATTCGAAAAAAAATTCTGCCATTCAAAAAGCTTAAGCAGTCAATGAGTTCCGGAGTGTTTACCATCACTATGGTCATCATAGTGATGGCAGTCAGTGAGTTCCAGAGTGATTACCATCACTATGATCATCATTCCGAGTGATCGCCATCGTTGTATGTTCGGGATTATTGATCTTTTGTTGATAAAAAGCCTTAATATCATTAAAAAAAACTAGTGCTGTTTAAACAGACATAAATCACATTATCAATCATTTTGTACTAAACCGAGACATTCTTATTTTGTGCTCAATTCAATAATTTTCGTAGTTTTTCTGCCTTAACATCCCAAAACTTAATAGTTTTCAACCACTTAAAATTCAACAAACTAAAAGTTACATAGACATTGTGTCAATAATCCAAAAAGTAAACAAGTTCATGTGCAAAAAGCTCATAAATCCACAACAACCACAAGAAGAAAAAAAATCAATGATCAGAAGAATCACGCCAACTCTGAAGAATATTACAACGTACATGCCACATAAGTTTCAGTTTAGAAGCTATGTAAAACAATTTTCCTATGCTTTATGCTTCACTGTTTTTAAAAAATTCTGACTATTGATTTTTGTGCGAAAGAATTATGCAATATATAAATATTTTTTTTGTGTGCTTCTTTCCCTTATTTTTTTGTTACAATTCAAAATGAAAACACCGACAACAACAACAACAATAATAACCATGAATGGAATATCTAGCCTAAATGTGCGAATTTTGTTATTGATTCGTGATCCACGAGGATTTTTACAATCTCGAAAGCATCGAGTGTGGTGTCCTGGAAATGCTGACTGTAAGTCTGATGATTCATATTTAAAAATGTCAATTCATTTTGTATTTATTTCCTTACTGTCTAGGTGATAATCCTAATATTGTATGCAAAGATTTGGTCTCTGACTACAAAGCAGCTGAGAAGCTGGCTAAAAAATATCCAATGACTTTTAAGTAAGTTCAATGTTGCGTCAATATTTACTATTTACTGATAAGTAGTTATGTGTTGGCTTAGAGGTTCCATCTGTGAAAAATAAATTGTGTGATTTTTGGCGTAATCGAGGATGAAAATGTGATAAGACATCCGGAAGTTGTTATAAAAAAGCACTGTTCAGGGGTCAATTCTTTTGTAAGCAAGTGCTTCAAACTCTTTAGTACCGCTCTGGAAGGGCTAAATCATCTTATTCATTAAAAATTCTTCTATTTGCTCCTGAAAACATCAATCGCTAGAATGGACTTTGAGATTCATTCTTCACAAAATGATTGACGTCATAAGTCATTGACCCTCTTAGCAATGAAGATTTATTGAAAAAGTATTTGAATAATAATCTGCAAATTTAAGGTAACATGTTTGGAGGGTCGGGAGGTTTTTAACAATAGATTTTCTCAGCGTTACATTGCGTTCCGTAATAGTTGAACCCAATGCTAGCAAACAGAAATTTTTGAGTTCTTATTATTCGAACTTCGAATTTTTGAGGTTCTTATTTTTCGAAAATCGAATCTTCAAAGTTCTTATTTTTAAAAAAATTCGTTGTGAATTATTATTTTTCAAGTAATATGTAATTTTAGTGAACATTCCTACTAGTTTTTATGATTAAGATAATCACTGTGATGAAATTGCATTCCTTAAATGTTTATGCTTTAAAAAACAGCTAGTTTAAAAAAATAAAAAGAAACGGACTTTCTTATTTTGAAATTTTAAAAAAATACCTCGCGAAAATTTTGATTTTTTTTTGTTTGTAACGGACTTTGTTCTCTTTGCTAACATTGGAGTTGAACGATTCCTTACCATTGAGTTTAAAAAACCCAGAGGTGCATTAGGGCGTTTCGCAGCTAATGAGAGTCTAACGAGTAAGGATGCGTGAAACCACTGCACTCAAAGATCTGATCATGCATTAACATAGATAATGTACAAATAATTCAAAAGTCCCCAATGTGGTTATCTCCACATGATCATGAGAAATTCTCTTCCCACAACTTCGTACACCAGCCTCTTAAATAAAGCATAGAATGATGTATTACAATAAAAAAATCAAGTATAATCGAGTTTTTTTTAATAGCACTTAACTGCTAAGAGGAAAGAATAAATAACTCATGAATAGCGCTCGATTCATTTTTTTTTTGCATCGGTAATCGATAATTGTGTCAAGCACATTATTTTGAAGAATATTCTGATATCTGGAGTGACATTGATATTAGCAACTGCATAATGTGCATTATTATTGGAATGTTTGTGCGAAATAGGAAGGTGTGAAGGTATTTTTGCGGGTGTAAATTGTGATGCAGTCACGATTTTTTTTAAATGAGTATGGGAATATTAAGCGTTGATTGTGGAAATTTTGTTATTAGCGTTAAGGATGTTTTTTTTTTGAAGATTTGTTTTTAATTGTGGACATTCTGGTGTTGTTGATTCGAGATAGGGTTTCTGAAGCCGTTAACGAAAAACGGAAAACGGCCGTTAACGGCACAAAAATTGAAAACGGAAAACGGCCGTTTTTCATTCCGTTTTTCCGTTTTCTCATAGTTCATACAATGTAATTTTTAAAAAAATTTTTGTTTATTTCCTTTAAAACTTATTCTCAAAAACAGTTAAAGAGATTTATTATTATGGATTAGCCTGGAAAGTTTGAAAATCTCATTTCAAGTAGTATATTAGAATCAGAAAAAAAGTCTAGTTTAAACCCCTTTGCTTGGACTTTGCTGAAAAATTGTCTCAGATTCGAATTCCCAAACAGAAAGCCCTCAAAATGTGTCACTGGCTGAACAATATCAAATCGTACTGAAAATGAAGGCCAACCTCAAGAAAATACTCGAAAATTCAAATGGATGAAAGATGAATTTGTAATTTTTTCAAAAATACAGGAAATCGATCAGAAAATCTTCAAAAACTTTATGATGCTTTGTTGTGTATTAAGCCGACATCTACAAATGTAGAGCGAATATTTTCAATCTGCAATAATTTTTGCACAAATATTCGTTCAAGGCTGGCTGATGCATAACTAAATGCTCTTGTATTTCTTAAGTTTTATTATAATAAAATGATAAATAGTTATAATAAATATAAATAGAACTTAAGACGTTTTACATATTATCTATATAGAACATCAATTCTTTATCTTTTGAGGAATATTTCATTTATATTTGGTTATTTAAAAACCTTAAAACGGCCCGTTAACGGCCGTTTTTGAAAATAAAAAACGGAAAACGGCCGTTTTCAAAAATGCCGTTTTTCAGAAACCCTAATTCGAGATTAGCTTATGGGGAGCTTAAGGGGTTTTGAACTTTATTCTAAAGATTGAGAATTTTATTAGACAATTGGAGTCTCTGAGAATTATTACACACGTCTTTGGTAGAGAAGTTTTTGGAGTTGTGGTCTTTGCTAAGAATGAAATTTGGTTCGTGTCATTATTAAACATTTAAAAGATCAAATCATCAAACTGCAGTAACAGACAAAGAGCATGCTCTTGATCAAGAGTACGGTTGAGAATACGCTTTTTTAACATCCTCTCAAGATCCCAGTAAAGAGCATGTTCAATAGCGGACTCAATCATCCTCTAATTATAAATAACTTGCATGCAAGTTTTTAATTCATAATCTTTTATATAATCTCAAGAGCATAATCAGAAGAATATATAAAAAGCATGATCATTCACATCCTCATGAGATTATGCTAAAATTTTTCTTGTTATATACTTCACAAGCGCCAGCAGAAATCACTAGTATAGGTCATATATACTTCACAAGAGAAAGCAGAAATCACTTTTATAAGTAATTATTTTGGACTTTCTATAGTTTAAATATGTCTATTCGCCATTTGAAAGTTATTTAATTTCAGAAGGAATTAGATAAGATGAACAGTTATCAGGTCAATCTACAACACAGCGTACTCGGGTTCGAATCACGGCAATCACCAAAAAATAATAATTATATCAATTTCAAAAACATGATCAAGAGCATAATCACAAGCTCATAAAATTTTTTAAATAGTAAAATTAAAGCATGATCAGTTGAACATGTTCTTAATCATGTTCTCAAGTTTAACTTGCATGAATAATTTGCAAGTAAAAAAGCGTACTCTTGAAAGCGTGATTTCTGTGGTACCCTGCTGCGATCTCCATTTGTATAAGAGAGTCCGCTAATTTAGCGTCATCAAATTAAAAAATTAATTTTTAAAAATCATGCTCAGATCGTGCTCATTGTCTGTTAAGGCTGGTCACATCTATGATATGCAAACTAAGTGCAAAGTCAACAAAAATCACGTAAATTCTTACAATTGGAACCTCTAAAACTCACCGCGTATAGATAAATAATAATATTTTTTTTGCATTTTTTTCTCTTTATTTTTCCACATGCTTAAACATCATTCGCAATAAATAACAAAAACATGATAATAAACGCACGTTCATTAACTCTATCGTACATCAAAACATCGAGTAGAGCTGTGAGGTATGAAGATTTGTCATTATCACCATACGATATGACGCAAGAAGTTCTTCAATTTTATGGACTTGCATTCGACGATCGTGTTGCAGAATTTCTTGATACACACACAAAACAAAATGTAGGTGGTGTGAGTTCAACGTTTAGAGACTCGAAATCAGCGCCATTTCACTGGACGAAAGAATTACCGTATAATGAAATTCAATATATACAAGATAGTTGTAAATTAGCAATGAAATTGTGGGGTTACAAGGAAGCTTCCAACGCAAGTGAACTTTTAAAGAATTTTAATCCACTTTTACCATTTCCTGAGTTCAATTAATGAATAATTTAACAAAAATCTAAATTTTAAGTCTTTTTTATGTTTACGGAAAAAAAAAGTTTAACTTTTTGTGTTGATGGCTTTCTATAAGTTTTTGTGGTCTGTTGATTTATTGATACCAAGTAAAATTCCTCAAACCTAAGCAGTATTTAATAGTCAAATTAATAGTGAATATTGTTAAGAAGAAAACTTTGCCGAAAATTTGAATAGCAAATTTTTATGGCCGAAAATTAAAGTCGCATTCAAATTAATAAACAGCTTAATTTCCAGCAGACCACAAAGGAATATTTTAAGCGCATTTTTAAAGGATAAGCAGCTTAATAATACACTTTGATTGACTTGGTCAACGAATTTAAAAAATGTTAACTGAAATTTGAATTTCAGAGAAAAAGATTTGAAATGCTGTTAAAAATGTAAATGTTGAAGGGTAGTAAAAAAATTGAATTTCAAAAAGCTGTTAAAAATTTAAATGTCAAAAAACCCGTTAAAAATTTAAATTTTAAATTCCCGCGAAAATTGAAACTTTTCTAGAAAGCAGTGAATTTATTTTAAATTTGAAAAATTGTTAAAATTTTGAAGTTTTTAAAATTTCTGATCACTACTACAAAAAAATGCGCTTAAGTTCCTCGATCAAAATACGAGGATTTTCTATAATTTTTTCATTCAGTTGAAAAGAATTTCTCATATTCCAAAGAATATTTCGCGAATTGCACGCGAGTTCTTATGACGATGACGTGAAAAGAGAAATTAATTAATTCATGAATCTCAAATTTTCTTTTTCTTATTGAGAACAAGAATCAAAATTAGAATATGAAGAGAAGAAAATAATAATAATTATGAAAAAAATATCGGTGCTAAATGTCGTATAATAAAGTGTAAATGTATAAATCTAGCAACATAACCTTTCACCAAAAGGAAACTCGTACGAATGACCTAAACAGTGAAATACTAAGAAGAGAAGTTGAATGATATAGAAGAAGAAAAAGAGAAAGTGAAATACAACAAAAGCGATCTGTGATTGAACTCATAACTTTTTATGTTTTCTTCTGACTTGACTTGGATCTGGATCAACGGTTTTTTGTGTTAAAAATTTGAATTTTTCGGTTTCTGTCTTTGCAATTTTTTTTTTTTTTGGAAAAAGTCCAATTAAGTTGTTAAGCCTGCAAGATGAGTTTCTAATAGATTCAAGTCTAATTTTCTAGAAATTTAAGTGCAGTTTCTTATTAGGGTAAACCATGTTGAAATTTGTGCGATCAAATGAAATGTAAATCATCTAAACTAAACCATTTATAGAAAAAATTTGTATGCAGTTCTTTGTAAAGCAGTTATTAAAACTTTTCTACTTCATTTTGGATTGTGTTGAAGGTTCTTATAGCTTTAAATTTCAATTTTTCAAAATCCTATACAAAATGAAAGTTTTCATCTTTTTTTTTGATTTGGACTCAACTAATGATTCTGCTTACCCCATCAGAGTTGAAAAACAAATTTTCTTTATTGCTTTTTTGATTAAAAAAGTTTCTGCGTACGAAAAATCAGAGATCGAAGCCGATTTTTTCGGCTTAACTCAATTTTTGATTTTTTTGATAGAAAAAAGCCATTTGACACCCATTTCAAGTATTTAAATTGAACTTTACATGCTTTACTATGATTTTGTGTAATATTTTGTCAGCATGTAGCTATAGTGAGCTCAAAATTTCAAGTTAAAGAATGTTAAGCCGAAATTTAAGCCGATCGGCTTAAAATCGGCTAAATTGAAATTCTGAGCTCACTATAGCTACATGCTGACAAAATATTACACAGAATCATAGTAAAGCATGTAAAGTTCAATTTAAATACTTGAAATGGGTGTCAAATGGCTTTTTTCTATCAAAAAAATCAAAAATTGAGTTAAGCCGAAAAAATCGGCTTCGATCTCTGCGAAAAATCATCGAAATTTTTTGACAAATTTTGAAATTTGTGTGTTTTTTGTCGTAAAAAGCAATGGCACATTTTGTCAACAAAAATAATTATTTACAATCAAAATCGGGTTTTTAGAGGCATGAATCAAGATTAAAGAAATTTCAAAAATGCAACCAACTTCAAAAAATATTACAAGAACAAAAAAGCATTCAAGAACTACGTTCTGTTTTCAGTCTCAAATAGATGATACACAATAAACTTCGTTAAAATACTCTTCTTTCTTTTATTTCTCAAAACAATTTTGCAAAATTCTGTAAACTTTATCGTGAATAAATTTTGGAAAAAGACATTTGTAGGATGTGCTTGTTTTTAATGGTGTCTTCTCGTCATACGCAGTCAACATAAATGATATACATAATGGAAATCATTTATGAATTGAAATATGACAATGCTTGCTGTCAAAAAAAACGCACAAATTTCAACATTTTTTTGCATAATTTAAAATTTTCCGCACAAATTTCAACATTTGACCAAAAATGTCAAATTTCTCTTCCTATAAGCAGCATAACCATCACTGAGTACAAAAAAATGAAAATTCCAACAATTTTTGATAATTTAAGACATGGTTTACCCTAAATATCTTAATTAAGCATTTGAATCTAAATTCATCATTGACTCAAAGTGAAGAAAATTCAAAAAAAACTTATAACGGAAATTTTAGCAAAACAAATTAATTAATAAAATCGAATGATTCAAGCATTTAGCCTCAAAAAAAAAACAAGATCCAAGTCGAGTTTTCTATTCAATTGTATCACAACAGTAAGCGGCACAATAAAGACGATGATGAATCTGTGCTGTATTTATATTTGGCGAGAAGTCTAATAAAGTAGAATGGAAAATGATGAGGCAATAAATGAAAACTGGGTGAAGTGATTATTTTTTTTCTTTATTTATTTCAAGATGAAAAACAACCGTACAAGATGGAAAATCTCATTATACATTATGTTAATTACATTATTTCATCTATCCATTAAATTCAAAATAGCCTCGTGTACTTACAGTGTGATTTTTTTATTTTACTTCTTTGCTTTCCTTCCTCTTTGCAACAATGTTTCAATCTCATCTCATCTTCTCGACTATTACTTCTGCTGTTTCGTGTATTTTCAATTCTACTCAAAACACAAACATTTACAAAAAATCTGATCATTTTTTTTATTATGAAAATGATATTAATTTACTGTTCGTCTGGTACAGGGAAGCTTCTTGACATTCATTTCTATTAACATTCATGTGCTAATATAGTTATGGGAAATGAATATGAAAATGAGTATTTAGAATCTTATTATTTAATTTCTGATTGTCAGGGATTGTTTAATGTTATAAAAACAATTATGAGCAATTCCACAGATTGATGGCATTTCGAAAAATTGACATATTAATGTCTCTAATCTTGTCATCTTTTGAGGTTTTGTTTTGTTAAAAAATCGTTCTTTGACTTATCCATCAATGCTAAAATCATGTTTCTATAGCTAATTTATATCAACATCATTTTGAATTTCAATTGTTATTAAATTGGAGTTCGAATTCGGTATGTTTTTGAGAATTAGAGTCGCTCCAAATTTTTTGGAAATTGCAAGTTCTGGCTTAATTTGAGCGTTTTAGATCTGTTTGAGTATATGAAATTTAACAATACACAGAGTAACATAGTTCAGTACAGTAAATTAAAGTGACACTGTCTAAAAAGATCAAATTTATGCTTCGAAATTCAATTCTGTTTCTATGAAAACCGAAATATTTCATTCAATTTCATTAATTAAAGCATAGGAAGACTTACGGATTAGATAGAATGAAAGAACTTGGTGAATTCCATAAGCTAGTAAAAAATTGAATTCTAAAAAGTTCCCTAATCCAGTGAAATATTGATTCAAAGATGAATTGAGTGTTATAAATTCAAATTTCGAAAAAAAAATACTTAATTTAGTTTATAACCATGCCAACATCATAAGACGTAATTCCTTTAAACTTTGTTGAAAATTCCTCACTAAATTGTTGACATTATCGCAAAATCATCATTGTTGTTCCTTGAATAGATAAAAAGCTAATGAATTTTGTTATAAGGTTTCACATCAAGTTTGGAAGTTATGTGCCTTCATTAAATCAATATTTCCCAGAAAAAAAAAGAATTAATTTTCAATCCCTGACATGAACTTTTGCTTTCAATAATGAAAGTCATTTGAATATGCTAAATACTATCACATGCCCATAATTCAAATAACAGAATCATCATATTAAGTTAATTTTTTTCTGTGCATTCATTCCGTTATTAAATATTGAAGCTATGAAAAGTTTTTTGTTTCTTTTTTGAAGTATTGCGTGTGTCCAGCACGGCAAACATCATTTTCATATTTTTTATTCTAACTATGGCGTTTGGGATCGTTTTTAAAATGATGGGGGTCTCAAAATTGATTTTTAAACCTAACCTCTCATGAAGAGTCTAGCATAACTTCAAACCCCTTTCTAACCTCCAAAAAACAAAGATGTCATTTATGAACGACCCCATAATGTTAATCCATACGACTATGAATGAAGAAAAGCTGGAAAAGAAGTAGAGGAAAATTTTGGACTGCCGATTAGGGAATGAGCTTGGGGTGAGAAGTATTTTGGATACTGTTAGCATGTTAATAATTTAATGTGTGTGTTTTATAATAATGACAAGTTTTTTTGTAACAAAATATATATTTATATATATTTTGAGATCGGCTATGGAACATATTATAATAGATATACATAATGAACAAAAATGTGACTTGTCGGATGTAAAAATAATAAAAAAAATTGAATATTAAAAACATGAAAATGTCACTCGAAATGTTATAAAATTTAGCCTCAGTTCATCTACATGTGTATAAACGGACTAATGATAATAATCGACGTAATTAATGAAGAATTTATAGATATATGAAAATGAAAAGTCTCTCCTAATGGGAATCGATGGATGAATTATAAACAATTTCAAACAATCATTTCTCATTGTGCATTTTCGCTAGATCTGTGAGCTGTTTACAATCATTTTTTGAGTAAATCATTTTTTTCATGACTTGATTGATGCGATATTTACATCTGCTGAGTAATTTAAAACTGTTTAATTATGACTCGGTTCTGGATATTTAATTAAATTTTTTAATACTTCATTTTAACGGTTTTTTTAAAAGATTTTCAAATTTTGGTTCAAGGCTTTGGTAAAAGTTTAAACTTTAGCAGCTGAAATTGTGTCTTAGTTAAAACAATTTGAAAATTGACAGTTAAAATTGAGTCAAAACTTAAATTTTGAATTTTACACGCTTAAGTTGTGTCCGAGCTAAATTCAACAAGTCTAGCAAAAATGCGCAATAACCATCCCTTTCCACAGACACTTCCGCAATTGTTTTGTGGATCACATACATTAGGGAACGAACGAACGTTAATAACGTTTTATACATTCATGCTAAAGGACAAACAAATGCCATTAATTTGTTGACTCCATTTTATATATTATCGTGATTGAACTGCTATTGACATTATTTTTGGTAGTTGCATGATATAATGTGTACAAACATATAATCATTAAATT